TCTCTCTCTCTCTCTCTCTCTCTCTCTCTCTCACACACTCTCACACACACTCTTTCTCTCCCTCTGTCAGTGTCATCCTCTGTGTCTTTTTGTCTCTGTCCGCTTTGGTTGGGTTTAAGAGGTTAAGAGGCAGCGTTGTTAACAGGCCCCATTGCACACCAGCAGAACAGGACGAGCGGCTTCCTTTATGGTTGAATAACGCACTTGAAGTTCTCTATTCAATCAAGTGTTCGTGTTTGTTTGATGTATGACCACTTCCTTCTTTCCCGCCCTTTTAAGATAAGGTAATGCTCTTACCACTCGTGGATTGAGTGTCCAGCTTTTGAAGTGATGTATTCATGTCACGTACCACATATTACTGTTACACACAGCCCGAATGGATCCTTGCCAACAGGATGAAGGCAGCCCGCTTCCTATATGGATTTTATGTTGATGGGCTCGTAAAACAAAACGAGGATTAACAACGAAAGGTTTCCAGTCCACGCAGGATGCGTTGTCATTTCATTTGGTATCAGGCTGGACTACCATTAGGCCATTCCCAAAAGGGGGATATTAAACATGTTCTTATGCACAATACTGTAGAATTGTAAATGGACTGATTTATTAATGTCATGCTGGTACTGTGCGGGAAGAACATAGGGGGAACTGCTGCTTTTTCTTTCCTCACCCTAAATATCGTCATTTTCCTGTACTTCTTTTGTATGTTTGTCACTCTTTTGTGAACTGCTATTTCTGTGGTGCCTTGATAGTCGAAGCAGACTTCGTGCTGTTGAGGCAAGAACAGAGTAAGCCTGATTCCACGTTTGGACTTCTCTGTTGACCTCCACCCCTTGGCGCTCATAATTACCTTATGCACTTAAGAGCGCCGTATAACCTTACTAAAACTGAAACAGAAGCGGATATATAAAAGTGATAAGAATAATATATAGATCTAGTCCACATGTCATTGGTTTCACCCGTGCCAACGATTTTCCGACTGTGCGTCCGAGAAGCCCTCCCGCCTTGCATGAGGTCGGTAAGCTGTTATGTGACCCCGGCGACTCTTCTGCTCATAAGCGCGTTCCCCTGCAAGGACAAGCTAAGCTGATCGGCTTTGTTGTGGCATGGTGGCCGAGGAGAATTGATATTCCTGCCTATAAATTGCGGCGATTTTTGAGAGAAAAGAAAAGAGATCGTTTTTACGTGTCCAAAAGTGTTTGCTACAAGTTCTGAAATGCTGCTTTGTTTTGCAGCCCATGAAGAGCTTTGGCTGCAATCAAAGAACCCTAAACAAAAAGTTAATGTGAATGGGTTAGAGGAAATAATGAGAGAGAGAGAGAGAGAGAGAGAGAGAGAGAGATGTGTGACAAAAGAGAGGGTCGGTTGGAGAGAATAGAACAGGATTGGAAGTGTGAAAGGGGAAGGGAGGTGGGGGGATGTTAAGGATGATACGGAGAGAACAAAGTGAACAAGGACAGCTTGAATGTAGATGGTTATTTCATGATATTGACATAATAATATCATTTTATTTTCGAGACGCACACACCTTTTTTCATAGTGTTTGTTACGTCCCCATCGACCAAATTTAGATCGGGGGCTCTCGTGGCCTTGAGGTTAAGGTGTTGGCCTCTCATTCAAAGGTCCCGGGTTCGAATCCGGGTAGCGACCGAAAATTTTTCTTCTCTAAAATTGTCCCCTTTCACCTCCTTTCCTGCTCTCTAGCACTGTTCTGTTGTCTGCTTTCATTTCCACTTTCTGCCCCCTCCCCCTCACCTCCTTTGCCCCCTCCTCTGGGCTCCTGACTCCTTCTGCAGTCTTTCTACTGCTACTCCTTGGGTCTTCCTTACTGCTGTCTTTCTGCCACACCCCTGATCTTCTGGTAGGAAAGATCTACACCTAGCCTTCTCGGACAAGGGTGAAAAATCTCGGAGGGCCCGTGTGCAAGTTGCGGACGTTAAAGATCCCTTGGTGGTCTAAAATCGATAAAAGTAGGCTTCGGCCGCCACCCGGGCAAAATTCCAAATTTCCTACCAACTGAAAATATTAGGTGAGGTGTGTCCCGCGCGCTCATATGACCTTATGAAGTTGCGAGCGCCGTAAAACACTTTACAAAAACAAAAAACAAAACAAAATTTAGATAATTTTGGAGCGGGCTTCTGGCTCTGCCTGCCAGGGTCAACCCGGGCTGAGAGGGATGTTACAACACCGCAGCAAAAAGACCGAGAAAGGCAATAAAAATCTTCTCCCCACT